CCTGATCCAGTAAGATTGTGTTCACAGATGGTGCAGGAAGCATTACATCTGTGGCATATTCTGCCTTTCCACACCTGAAACCACTGATGCCTCAACAGCAGCTCTGTAACAGGACTGGCAGGGACCCATTCTCACCCAAGTGTCCTGTCATTGCCTCAGCCCAAGCAGGTCTAGAACTGAGCTCATCAGCTCTTCCCAAAGCAGGTTCTCCAATCTCAGTGGCCCAGTTCCTGGGTTATGACGAGGATATACCTTTGACTCATGCTTCACTTCAGGTCAGCTCCCACAGGTCCACCCAACTTGTTCATTGCCAAGAACAAACTCATCGCTGGGCAGAAGGCCCATATTCTTCTTTTAAGGCCTTTCTATTGCAGGTGGACATATCATGAGGGGGTTGGCACCTCCTAAGTGCCCCTCTCACCAACTTTTATCCTGGCACAAGGCCCCTAATGGAACCAGCATGGCTCATCAATGGGCCCAGACTGCTGAACTAGGAGATCTTTCCTTTAAAATCTGTTGTCATGTTCCGATCAGAGACCTCTTGATTTGTTATGCACTGGTATTCAGACCCCTGAAGTAGTGAGCATAATTCCCATGCTCCTCTCATTAAATGATCTTGTCCTCCTACTTATTTGAATTCTGTAGGAAGTTTTTGACTCATCTTGAATAACTGGATGCTCCTGTATAATTTTGTCAAACATTTTGACCATAGCCAACCACATCTTGCCCTTACATGCTTCCGTGCCTTTCATTGCACCATCCCCTCTTCTTGGAATAGCATTCTCCTCCTTATCTTGTGAGAAAACTCCTGCTCATCCTTCAGGACTCAAGGAAATTGTATACTTCCATCAGTATAACTCAAAATGTCATAGTTATTTGTTCATACCTCTGTCTTTTCCTCTACATTATGTGTTCCATGGGAGCAGGGACTAGGTCCGATTTATTAATATCTGCTCCCCCCACCCCACACCCAAAGCGCAGCATAGAAGGAATTCATGGGATGTTGGCTGCCTGGATCCATTTATTTACAAGTGTTTACTCAAACTTCTGTGCCAGGCACTCTGCTAGGCACTGAGAACATAGGGGTGAAAAAGGCAGATGGAGTTTGCCTTGGGGAAGGTGACCAGGTAACAAGAAAACAATATATGGATAAGACACTTTGGAATTAATGCACTTCAGAGGGGCTGCTTTAGATGAGGGGTGTTCAGGAAAGATCTCTCTGAGAAGATACTTTGGAGCCAAGATCTGAAGGAAGGATGAGTATAAATCAGCCATGAAGAGAATGCTGGGGAGTGAGCTCAGGGAAGAGGAGGAGGAAATGGTCTTGGAGTATGTGGGGAGCAGACAGGAGAGCAATGTTGCTGAAATATGAGGAGCCATGAGGAGATTGAGGTGAACTTGGCCTAGCCAAACTCTGTAGCACCTTTTTCACAAGTCACAGTAAGGATTTTGGAATTTCCCCCCCCCCACCAAGAGCAGTGGGAAGTTTTTGGAGGGAAGTATTTTAAACTTCTAATATTCCTTATAGCTCAACACGTAGGAATCTGCTGATTTTTGCCTTGATTTTGCTCCCTCCCCTTTGCCTGTGACCTCTTCTTATATCCTGACCTAATCTTGCTTCTCTTCAGACCCTAAGATTTCCAAACTGTTTGCTCTGGAGCAGCTGGGGCTGCTCTGCTTACCTTGGAACAGCTCTGGTCCTTGTTTCAGCCTTGCGTGGCTCCTACCAGGACCTTGAGTTACAAGTGAGACCCCCATCCCTGTCTGCAATCCCCTGTTTTCATTCTCCTTAACCTAAGTGTGTAGTGATTCTCAGCCCCTGTGGGTGAATGTCATTGTTCTGAGCCTAACTTGGCCTTTGTCTTTATGAATCTCTGCTCTCTCCCTCCACGTGCAGTTATTTATCTTCTTTTGTGATGCCCACTTCCTCCAGGAGAAGCAACCTCTTGAGCTTCTCTGGATTCTCCTAAATCCATTCCTTTTCAGTTTAAAGTCTCATCTAGTGAGCTGTTTTTTAAAATAAAATGTCCTGAGGGTATCTCCTCACTTAAAAACAAAAAGAAAAATAGCTAACATATATTCTGCAATTACTGTGTGCAAAGGAATGAATTTCACTCTCTGTGAAACCTTAATGACCCATTAGTCATGACACCAGTCCTGTTAGTTAGATGCTGCTGTTTGCATTTTATGGACAAGGAAACTTAGGGTCAGAGATCACACAGTAAATGGCAGAGCTGAGTCTGGACTCAGGCTGTGATTCTCATGTCTGTGAATTTAGCTTCTACTGCCTGGTACAGTTTGGCTTGTTTCTTTGATATCCACACTATCACCAAAGCCACTCTTCTGAAGGGTCCACTTTACTTTCCTCCCTCCTAAGGTCCAACTTCATAAGGAAAATGAACAGAGATCCTTCTGTTTCCTGGCCTGTGCCATGCTTGGGTGTGGGAGCCATGCCTCTGTTCTCCAGAGCACACCTGTGGGTTTTGCTGAATGAGCAAACAAACACTGACTCCTGGTCCCAGTTTACAGACATGAGCTAAGTCTCTTCTTAGGATTACAAGTGCTGTGGTAAGACCTTTCCTACTCCCCAGGAAGAAGCTGGGAAACAAAAAACATGAGAGGAGGCTGCCAGAAGGCAGTTTAACTTAGGCCTTTCTAAGTGACAGAATTGTCTAAAATGGAAGTAGTTGCCCCAGGTTGGGGGTGGACAGGTCTCCACTGCTATTGACAGGGCCCTTAGAGGGCAGGTTCAGTATTAGGAAAGTGACTGGACTATGATCCTTGAGTTGTTCCTCAGCCTTGAAAAGTTGAGATTTGAATGGTATGAGGTAGAGATTCAGCTGCACGGGACAAGTGTATCATTATGCTTGTGGCCTTCATGGATGTGGCACAATGGCTCAGTTGCAGAATTGAAAGCACAGTTGAGGCCTCTTTGCCGGGATTATACCCAAGGAAAGTACTTCAGGCATGGAGCAAATACAGCTGTAAGACAGTCGGATCTTCCCCAGTGATGGCAAGAACTTCTGGAGCCTGGGGCCCGTCAGCATGGAGAGGTACAACTGTATCTGGCTGCTACAGGTGACTGGAGAGCCTAGTGGTCATTACAGGAATGAGGGGATCGTGTACTGGAAAACACGCCCATGCCAGGAGGGATAGTCCACAGAGAAGTCAGAAGCTATACATACATTATTAGGATTTTCCTCTCTCCTCTCCTCTCCCCCTTCTCTTTGGGTGTGCACCACCCCTCCTGGCAAGATCTCTCTCTCTCTCTCATTACTGGGGTTTGAATTCTGGGCCTGATGCTTGGTAAGCAGGTTACTACCACTTAAGCCATGCTGCCTGCCCTTTTTTGCTTTAGCTATTTTTTGAATAGGTTCTCAAGTTTGTGTGCAGGCCTATCTGGGTCACTTCCTAATGATGCGTCCCTAGTAGTTGGGATGACAAGCACTTGCCACCATACCTATCCTTTATTGGTTGACATGGGGTCTCTCAAACTTTCTGCCTGGGCTAGCTTTGGTACTCTACTCTCCTGATCTCTACCTGCCAAGAAGCTAGTATTGTAGGTGTGAGCTATCATGACTGGCCTGGCAAGGATTCTTTTTTTTTTTAAACATTTTTATTTAGCATATATTAGTTGTACAGAGGGGGTTTCATTGTCACATTTCCATACGTGTTTATAATGTACCTTGGTTAGATGCATTACCTCCATCATTTCCTCATTTCCTTCTCCCCTACTTAATTTAATTTCAACAAGTTTCTCAGTTCTATTTTTATACAGGTATATAAAGTACATTGACCTTATTTCTCCCTCCTTTACCCTCCCCCTCCCATTAGTACTCACCCCCCAATAGGATGTGTTTAACATTCTAGTGTTTCATTTTGCAAGTGTATATTCCTTGTTCAGAGGTGTTTTGCCATGGTATTTCATCCATGAATATATTGTACTCTAATCGGATTAACCCCCTCTATTACTCTCTCTTCCCCTCCCCCAACCCCTATTATTCAACAGCTTTCAGTGTGTTTTGTTATGCCATCATCTTTACACAGATGAAATGTTTTTCAGTATTATTTACTCTCCATCATTCTCTTTTCCTCTCCCTCCTCGCCCTAGTTCCACCAAATGGTCTCATTTTAAACATGTTCTATGTGTGTATATATATATATATGATCATGTTTGTATTTGTATATATGTTTATCTTTTGGATCTGTTTTCCCCATATGAGAGAAAGCATGTGGCCTTTTCTTTCCAAACCTGGCTTACTTTGCTTAACATGATGGTCTCCAGTTTGATCCATTTATCTGCAAATGACAAAATTACATTCTTCTTTTATGGCTGAATAATAATACTCCATTGTGTAAATATGCCACATTGTAGGGCATCTGCTGTTTCACAATAGCTTGGCTATTGTGAATAGTGCTGTAATAAACACATGTCTATATTATATCCCGACTTAAATTCCTTCAGGTATATTCCAGTAGTGGTTTGCTGGATCATAATGGTAGATCTAGTTTTTGTCTCTTGAGGAACCTTGATATTGCTTTCCATAGTTCCAGTTAATAATTTATGTTCCTACTAATAGTGGGAATGTATAAGGGTTACTTTTTCCCCCTGAATTCTGTCCAACATTTGTTGTTGTTTGTGTTCTTAATGATAGCCATTCTGACTGGAGTGAGGTGAAATCTCAGTGTCATTTTTGATTTGCATTTCCTTTATAGTCAAGGATATTGAGCATTTCTTTATGGATTTATTGGCCATTTGTACTTCTTCCTTTGCAAATTGTCTGTTCAGTCACTTGCCCATTTATTTATTGGGTTGCTGATTCTTTGGCAGTTTAGTTTTTTGAGTTCCCTGTAAATTCTGGTTATTAATCCCTCTGGGAAGGATTCTTAATGAAAGTTTATTGTATGATGATGGACTTAAAGTATTTTGTGGTCTAACATGCATAATATGGAACTTCTATCATTTTTCCTTTGTTCTGTATTTGAATTTTCAATAACAGGAGGAGGAGACTAAGCAGACAAAAGGAGCCATGACTTCTGATGCTAGCCATGCACTGGAAGCTGCCTTGGAGCAGATGGATGGGATCATTGCAGGTAGGCCCAGGGGATCCTGGTGACTGATGTTTACTCCCCTGCATCTCAGAAACTATTTTCTCTCATTTTACTTTTTTTGGGAGGAGGCATAGAAACACCTTGTTAAATTTATTAATTTATTATTTTTTGGCATTACTAAAGGGTCTTATACTTGCTAGGCCGGTGCTCTAACACTTGAGCTATGCCCCCAGGCCCTTTACACTTTGATTATTTTTTGGATAGAGTGTCATGCTTTTGCCTGGGGCCAGCCTCTGATAGGTGTTCCTCCTACCTATGCCTCCTGAATAGCTGCAATTACAGCTGCAATTACACCACGTCCATCTTGCTGGTTGAGATGTGGTCTTGTTAACCTTTTGTTACTCTGGCTTTGAACTTCAGTCCTCTTGATCTGTACCTCCCAGATAGCTAAATTTATTTTTAAGTAGTGTTATGGCATGTGCCATCTCTCTCTCTCTCTCTCTCTCTCTCTCTCTCTCTCTAACATATAAACTTATAGAACTTTTATACCTAGTATAATGGTTTTGGGGGTGTCTGTTGAGATGGTGTAGATGTACCACATGCATGTGTAAAACTCTGTTATGGTTTAGATCCTAGATTTGAGGCAGTTTGGGCATGATGAATTTGACTCTGTTATAATTTTCAAAGCATATCATAGTTTATTATAGCCAAGCTGAAACTCAAAATCCAGGAGATTTTGCTATCAAATCAGAGTCTGCTCTACACCCTCCTTCCCCACCATGCCCCAGATGGTATCCAAACAGGAGGCAGTGTTGGATCGATTCACCTAATGACTACAGTGTTCTTTATGCCATGTTGATTTTTGTCCATCTGAACTGTTTGGTGTTAATGTTTGCATTAGCCAGTAGGGAACTTTTCTAGAAAGGAGCCAGCAAAATTGTGACTACTTGGGAAAGACTACAAGTGGGCCGTTCTGGGGGATTAATTTCTTGACAAGAACAACCAGGAAGCTGTACTAGTTACAGTAAATCAATCTTTGAAAATCTTTCCAAAAGGTCCCAGGTAGTCTTTCTGCCTGATGTAGTTCAGTGGCCTTATTTGCAGCTATGGCTGGGAGAGATGGTATGGAGCTGAATATGGCTAGACCCCAGGAAATGCTTAGGATATCTGGCACTGCCCCTTTTCAGGCATTTACTTTTCCTTCGCTTTGCAGCAATACATCTGATTCATGGAAAGTTCTGGATGTTGGAGCCTGGGCTAAGGGAGTTTGTGTCTCACAGCCCCCTTATGTTATGAGTTGTACTACCTATAACTTGGTCTAACTTTTGTCAGGCTTTTAATTTCTCCATGAATTTAGAGTGGCCCTTGAGTAGCCATGACTAATGTCTTGCCTAACCTCTTGTAGGTTAGAGTCTCTGATCTCCAAAATCACCAAGAGAGTGAATGTATTAGCAATACTTTTAGAGAGCCTGATCTAGAAACTCCCAGGAAACCATGTGTGTTGAGATAAGAGCCCCAGGGCTGTACACTGAGTTTGGATGAGGTGGTCAACACTTCTGAGTCCCCTGTGGAGGACCAAGCTCATAACAGAGCTCTTGGATGCTTTTGCAGGATGAATGAGAAGACTTTTCTCCATTGTATTGCCTTTGCCCCTTCATCAGAGGTCAGTTGACTATAGTTACATGATTCTATTTTTGTTTGGTCCCACTGAGCTTTTTATTATGCTTTTGCCAACATTATACTATGTTAATTTCTGAATATTTATAGTAAGTCCTAAAGTCAGATTGTACCGGTCCTCCAACTTTGTTCTTCAACATTGTGTTGGCCAGCCTTTTTTTTTTTTTTTTTTTTTAACTCCATAAAGACTTCAGAATCATATGTTGATAGCCACAAAATCTCTTGCTGGGATTTTGATTGGGATTGCATTGAATCTATAGATCATGATTGAAAGAACTGACATGTTGACAATATTGAATATTTAAGGGATAAATAAGACACCACCTAAAGAAACCTTGTGTGAGATTGGTGCCTCTTTCTGCCTCCCAATTTCTCCAGTTAAGTATTCCTAAAATGACAGAGCCTCTGAGAAAATAATCTTTGTCTCTGAGAGATTATGTTGTTGGATCTTCCAGGCCTTGCTTTGGTCCAGGATCTGCAGTTTAGAATTTGGGATGGATGCGAAGAAAGGGATCTTATGTATAGTTGTAGGGAACCTGGGAGACCTATCCTTCTGATATTACAGAGCACAGTGCTCCTTCCTCCTTCCACTTCCTTAGTCCTCCATCTTTGAAGGGTCTAGCTAGATGGGTTCCTTGGGCTTCTGTCTGAAACAGGTATGAGAGTTTTGTAGAGAAGAAAATCTAAGACATACCAAAGTTGTTCTTTGTAGAGTGGTCCTTTGCAGATTGTCAGGGAGGAATACCTGTAAGATAGACTCCTTGGTTTCAATGCTACTTCTACAACAGGTTGTTTTCACAACTTGTGTCTTAGTTTTCTCACACTTAAGTGGGATTGTGGTAGTACCCATTTTAGAGGATTGCTGTGTTAACCCATTTAATGTGCTTAGACAAGTGATTGGAGCATAGTTAGCACTATAAGATGTTAGCTCTTGATAAATTAATGAAAGTCAGAAAATCTTTACTATGTTGAGTTTCTCTTCTTCAAGGACATAGTAGAGTTCTCATTTATTGAAGCCTATATATTGCCCATCTGAGTTTGGGGGTTTTCATTATATAACATGTGAACATTCATGACTTGACTTGGACAGAGTCTACAAGATTGATATGTAGCCTCTGATTGGTTTCTGCTTCTCTTCTTGCCCCCTTATAGACTGTCTCCCACAAAGCAGCAATGTAAACCTGAAAATATAAATTAAATCACATCCCTCCTCTCCCCAAAACTCTTCAAATGGTGTTCCACCTCAGGAAAATATTCAAAGTCCTCACTGTGGCCAGCAAGGTAATAATATGATTTGGCATTTGCTGCCTCATGGCTTCTTCTCTGTTACTTCCCTCTGGCTTGTCTCATTTTAGACACAAGCATTGGCTGTCTCAGAGTCCTGCTGCTTGTTGTCTCCTCTTCTGGGAAACTCAGATTCACCTAGAATTCTGCAGAAAATGTCATCATATCAGAAAGTCTTCCCTGACTTGAATACAGCATCCTCCATCTCTCTCTGTCCTCATGATGAGTTAATATTTCTTTATATGCCTTACTATCACCTGGCCTTTTATATTCATATTGCTGTGTTTGCTTTCTGTCTGCTTCCTGCACCAGAATGAAACTTCCATGGGTGCAGAGTCTCTGTCACTGTATCTCCCATCTCAGTTAGTCTGTGGCACATAGTAGGTGTTTAAAAATATTTGTCATGTGCATATTTTACTTGTTTTTGTCAATGGGACATCCTTTCATTGGTTAGAAGTTTCTGTATATATTCTCTATCTGGCTGCATATTGAATTTCATTTATTATTTTCTCTATTGGTGCCTTTGTTTGATTGATTCTTTTGGTATATCAAATCACTAGTTAGTTTTGAAGACTCAGTAGTTTGTATGTCTCTGAACCATCTCCTAAATTGTAATTAGCCCACACAGAAGTTTGACAGGAGCTATTTGACAGATAATTCACCTTTGATGTTGTTAGTGTCTGGAGGGCATACATTCTATGCTATTCCTGATGAAAATAATGATAATTTTTTTAAATTTATTTTTTAGCAGGTACTAGGATTTTAACTCAGGGCATTGTGCTTCCTGGGTAAATACTCTACCATTTGAATCATGTCTCAGCCCTTTTTGCTTTTAGCTGATTTTTCAGATAGGGTCTCCATTTTCCCCAGGCTAGTCTCAGACAACATCCTCTTACCTACACCTCCTGCATGCTGGGATTACAGGTGTGCACCCCTGTGCCCAGAAAGAATGATAATTATTGACCCTTGTCTAGCAAGCCTGAAGCCCTGAGTTCACTCCTCAGTAAACACACACACACACACACACACACACACACACACACACAGAGAGAGAGAGAGAGAGAGAGAGAGAGAATTATTGAATGCCTTTGTACAGGACACTTTTCCTCAAGATGCCAGGACAAACTGGGCCAAAGAGGTTAGGAACTTTAATATGGTCTACAGAATTAGACTTTTGGGGTTTGACTCCCAGCTCAGCCACTTACTCCTGGCTGTGGGATCTTTGGACAATGAGCCTCAGTTTCCTTATAGATAAAACAGTGATAATAATAGCTCCTACCTTATATTATTGTGAAAATTAAGTTAAAACAAATAAGGCACTTAGAATAGTGCCTGGTACTTACTAAGTACTCAATTGGTCTAAAATATTTGCTTTTTTGATGTACGTATTAATATTATTTTTAAGCACTACCCAAAGACATAGTACTGGAAAATGGCAAAAGTAACATTTGAGTTCATGTCCCTGAGTGTCTTCCAGGCTCCTTCCATTCCTGGGTTGGTTTTACATCGATGTGTGGGACCATCTATAGGAGAGAAGAGCTAACTGGGAGGAGGACACTGTTATATCCTTGCTTGAAATCCTTTAGCCAGAGTGGTTTAATTTTCATCCCCACTGCACATTATCCTTTCCAAGCAGGACTTCCTTTTCTCAAAAGGTGGCACAGTTAAAAGTAAGTTTGAAATTGTGTCACCATATTATGACTATAGATTCTATAGGAATGTTTCATTTTGTGTGAGCACTAAGTCTTTCTCTTATTAATTTGAGGGTGAATGATGTCAGGCAGTGCCACCCACCACTACCAAAGCACAGCTGCTTTTGCATCAGTTAAAGTACTTAACAAGTACCCAAAGGCTATATTCTCCCACTTTTTCAAAAGGCAATTGCTACTTGTTTCAATAAAAGACACTTATGGGCTTCCTGTATTCCCCCAATTGTAGTCACTTATACAAAAATAACACAGATGCCTACTAAAATGGATGCAATTCCTTCAGTAGTGATTATTAATCATAACACTACATAGCAGGGATTTTAACTTTTAATTACTCTATACTATGGCAGATTACTGTTCACCTTCCAAAAT